GACCATTAGCCAGAAATATTTGATTTATGGAGCACACATGACTGAACATTGACACTGGGCCAAATATTGCAGTAATTGCTGGATAATCCTACGTTTTCTGGTTTGTCAGAGCTTCTCTAGAGACTGCAAATTCTGCTTGACTTATTTAATCACTATGCAGTTGTCTTTTAGAAGCCTAGTAATTTCTAAATTATTGTTGTGCTGTGCATATATCTGTGGTGGGTTGATGCTGGCTGGACACCAGGTGCCCACCAAAGCTATTCTATCACTCCCCTCTTCAGCTGGACAGGGGAGAGAGAATATAATGAAAGGCTTGTGGGTCGAGATAAGGACAGGGAGAGATCATTCACCAGTTACAGTCAGGGAAAAAACCCAGACTTGACTTAGGGAAAATTAATTTATTACCAATCAAACCAGAGTAGGGTAATGAGAAAATAAAACCAAATCTTAAAACACCTTCCCCCACCCCTCCCTTCTTCCTGGGCTCAGCTCCACTCCCGAATTTTCTCTACCTTCTCGCCCCCAGCAGCACAGGGGGATGGGGAATGGGGGCTGGGGCCAGTTCATCACATGTTGACTCTGCCGCTCCTTCCTCCTCAGGGACAGGACTCCTCACACTCTTCCCCTGCTCCAGTGTGGGGTCCCTCCCATGGGAGACAGTCCTCCATGAACTTCTCCAGCGTGGGTCCTTCCCATGGGCTGCAGTTCTTCATGAACTGCTCCAGTGTGGGTCCCTTCCACAGGCTGCGGTCCTTCAGGCACAGACTGCTCCAGCATCGGTCCCACATGGGGTCACAAGTCCTGCCAGCAAACCTGCTCCAGCGTGGGCTCCTCTCTCCACGGGGCCACAGGTCCTGCCAGGAGCCTGCTCCAGCACAGGCTTCCCGCAGGGTCACAGCCTCCTTCCTATTATATTTTAGTTTAGGTTATTAAACCATTCTTGTCTCAACCCACAAGTTTTACTGTTTTTTCCAATTCTCCTCACCGTCCCGCTGGGAGTGGGGAGGAGCAAGCAAGTGGCTGCATGGTACTTAGGTGCTGGCTGGGGTTAAACCACGACAACGTGCAAAGATGGAGACCACACAACCTCTCTGGATAACCTGTTTCACTCCCTGACTAATTTCATGCTGAAAAAGTTCTTTATATCCTGTCAGATATCCTCTTGTTTCAGCTTATGCCAGTTGTCTCTCATCCTCCCACCATACACCACTGTGAATAGCTAGACTCCATAACGTCCCCATGGGTCTTGAAGCATGTAGTGGTTGATGTTACTCCCAGGCTGTCTCTTACTCTGGCTGAAGGAGCCCAGTTCCCTCAGCCTGTCCCGAAGGTGAGTTTTCCGGCCTTTGGTCAGCTTAGTGGCCCTCCCCTGGATTTACTGCTGTTTATCAGTGTCTTTTTTCTATTGGAGCAGCCAAAACTGGACACAATATTTACATGCAGTCTAGAAAGTGCTGAGCAGAGGGGAACAATCCTTTCCCATTATACGCTGACTGTGTGCTCCTGTGATACAGGCCAGGATACTGCTGGCCTGCTTTGCTGCCAGGACACACTGCTGGCTTATACCCAGCTTGCTGTCCAGCAAGACCCCCAGGTTGTTTTCAGCAGAGTTGCTCTGCAATCAGTCAGTATCTAGCCTGTATCATTACGGTGGGTTCTTTCTTCCAAAGTGCAGCACTAATCCTTATTAAATTTCATAAAATTCCTCTTGACCCATTCTTCCAGCCTGTCTAGGTCCCTCTGAATGGCAGCTCTACCATCAAGTACATTGATTGCCTCCCACAGTTTGGTGTCATCTGCAAACTTGACAAGAGCACGCTTGGTCACCTTTTCCACGTCCTTGATAAAGATATCAAACAAGACAGGTCCCAGTACTATGTATGTAGTTTTTTATTGTAACAGGCAAGCAGGCTGGTCAGCCATGATTTGCCCTTGATAAATCTGTGCTGACTGTTCCTGATCATTATCTTCCTGTGCCCAGAAATGTGTTCAAGGTGGACTTGCTCTGTGATTTTCCTTAGGACGAAATCAGGCTGACCAGCTTGAAGTTACCCATCTTGACCTTTTTTTGAAGATGGGTGCAACATTTCCCTTTTTCTAATTGTGAGCAACCTCCCCTGATGTCCATGACCTTTCAGAGATGACAGAGATAGGCCTTGCAAGAGCACAGGACAGTTTGCTCAGCACCCTTAGATGCAGCCTCGTGGGTCCCATGGACTTGTATGGGTGAAGTTCTCTGAGGCATTTCTGAATGTGTTAGCTGTTTCTGTAAGAGAGCCATACTTAACAATTACATGTATTTCTAGGTCTCTGTACTTGTTCCTTCCATTGAGAGCTGGTTGACATTTTCCACTTTAAGCAGTTTTGTTTCCTTTCAAAATATTGTATTAAGTCACCTTCCAGGTCAATGTAATGTTTGTTTAGCTGAAATTCACTTCAATTACATCACTTCCTCTGTGGAATCTTTCTGGAATTTAATGGTCGTGATAAGAAAATCATGTATGGTAATGGTGGTGGCAGCTCACGATTATGATGAAGGATATAATTGTTTAGGTACAAGTAACTCTCTGATTATCTCTATTTACAGTGCTGTTGATAATCTCAGCAGATGACCCTGAAGTTACAGACAGTGATGACAGTGGACATTCAGAACTGTATTTCTAAATTAGATAAGAAAATGAATAAAAAACAAGGCATGCCTTCCCAGTCCTGGTGTTCACTGTTTAAAATACATGTATATATATAGTGTAGAATAAAATATTATATTATAAAGTCAGAGGTATCATTAAGAATATAATAAATATACAGTAAATTAACATGCTAAACATATTTTAAACATTGGCTATTTTAGAAATTTGTAATTCTTTTTTCCTGAATGACAAAACATTGATTTCAAGCAAAGTAAAAAATTATGATTTATGTCATATTTTGTAATAAAGCAAAGCCAGCAATGCATAATAATGCTTTCAAAAAAAGAACATTTTACTTGCAAGTCTGAGTCAGAGTTACATTTTTTCATTATATTCTTAGGAATAAGTGCCCTGATTTTAATTATGCCTGAGAAAACTTGAACTGTTTTAAATGTGAGTGAGATCTTTCCTGCTTAGAACGTGTATGCAACTTCTGCTTTTTGGTCGTTGATTCATAAATTATGAATGTACATTAGCTTCCCAGTCTGCTGCTGGTAAATTTTTATAGTATTTTAAGAAATGCTATAAGCACTACAGTAAATTTGAGGAAGGAATCCACACATTGAGAAAATGTAGTGATGGGGCATTAGACTTATATGAGAAATTTTTTGCTATTTATATGTCTTCTTTCTGTTACCTCATCCAGAAGACTGACATAGTCTTCTGGCAAAGACTACTCAGATGTCTTGTCTTTCCTAGTGTGTATCCAGGCCTCTCTTCCTAATTTTTGATGGTTATGACACATGCTCTAGCTCTAGAGGTTATGGAAGGCTATCATGCTGTCAAATTGGAGTTTTGATATTTATTCAGTGTGAACAGGTTGGCGTTAGCAGATGCCACCATCTATCTGTGTTAGTGCTTCTGCTTTCCAGCAAGAAGAGCTGGGTCTTTTTGACTTACCAGTCATATGGATGAGAGAAGTATTTGTAAAGGCAGGCAGTGTGTCTCGTTTGGGCTGTATTACTTGTGTGTGTGGACTTTCAGATGCAATTGCACTTGCTTACTGAGAGGCTTTCCTCCATTATGCTCCAGTGATAGCTTATGTCAGTCTGTTTGACAGCTCTGTCAGGTAATGAAGTGCTCTCACAGATCGTGCCGATCCTTGCTGGGAAAGGCATTGAGCAGTTCTTTATAGCTAAGACTAATGTTGACTGTGCTAGAGCTTTTCCTCTGCTCCACCAAAATGGTTTAGAGATAAAAGGTTAGTGGAAGCTGGCAGTAAAGCAGAGAACTGTATGTGTGGACGTTTAGTTATTCCTTCCTTTTGTGCATTACGCTGCCTATCCTGAATTACAGCTGCCGCATATCAACTAACATGGCTGAGGCTTCTTTGAAATTTCTTGTCTTTTCAAATCTTGACTAACTTGGCTAGCATTGTGTTACCTGTAATCTTATAACTTTACTTTTTTTATCCTTTTCCAGATCTACAGTAAATATGTTAATAGATTTTCTAGATTTTTTGCTTGACTTTGTTGACTCTAATTATGTAGACCTGGAGACAGTTCATAGCTATCTATTTTAATTGGTTTTCCTATGTACATGTAAAAGAAGAATAAATTAAAAATACATATGCAGGTATATATCTCAGAATAAGAAATGGACAAGTATGCTGCATCTGAACATGTTATACTTTTAAAATTGCTAATTTATAGTGCTTTTCTTAAATACAATTCAATTCATGTTGGTATTTATTGCATTTGATCTGACACTCAGTATGTTTTGACTGCTCAGGGGAAATAGTGTAAGAGCTCATAAATGCTAAAAGGGGGTGATATAGTCCTCTCCACTGTGGGTTCCTACAAGTTATGTCTGGTGGTTGTTGGTTTTCTCCATGAGCAGATTCAGCACACTTAAGTTGTCAGAAGACTTACCCAGTCAAAAACATGAAAACTTTTTTTTCAAAGTTAATGACTTTTTTATAAGTTCATGAAAGTGTTTGCCGAAGTCTTAGAGGAGTAGGTATGCACAATTGTGGGGAAGAAGGAGAGGATGAAGAAGCAATCTTTCTCCTGTGTGGTGTCACTACACCATTATATTGGTTCAACTGTTGATGAAATCTCAGCTTCATCTTGCACAGACTTAAACTTACAAACTGTTCTGAGCTTGATTTGGGCTTAAATTTAGCCCAAAAGCCAGAGCTGATGACACCTTCAATGAATAATGAAGATTTTGCACCTTTTTGGTTTAGCTCTGTAGAATGTAAAATTCTTCAAAAGTGTTCATTATTACTTTTTTCTCTTTTTAAAATTTTTTCACAATCTAGTAGACTAATGGTCCTTTGTATTTTTGTTCTTTGTCTCTTTTCTCCAGTCGAGGCCTCTTGCCCTGCAGGACATTTTGTGAGGCAGCAAAAGAAGGCTGTGAACCAGTGCTGGGTATGGTAAATGCTTCTTGGCCAGAATTCCTGAAGTGCTCTCAATTCCAAAATGAAACTGAAAATGACACCACTACAAGGCTATGCTTCTCACCACACCAAGAAAAAGGAAAGCAGTGTATGTTTCCATTCTTAACTGTTACACTGTGTTTGTGAGTTCCTATTTAATGATGTATTTTTTATTGTGTAGGAAGAGCTCTGGGGTGAAATTATTATTTCTGGTTCTGTTATGTTCCTTCACATTACTGTGATAGTCTGGTTGTCAGTTGGTTATAGTTTTGCTGTGTGTGGTGGGTTGACCCTGGTTGGATGCCAGGTGCCCACCAAAGGCGCTCTATCACTCCCCCTCCTCAGCTGGACGGGGGGGGAGAAAATATAACAAAAGGCTCGTGGGTCAAGATAAGGACAGTTTAATAAAGTGATAGCAAAGGTTGTGCGCACGAAAGCAAAGAAAAAACAAATGATGTTATTCTCTACTTCCCATCAGCAGGCGATGTCTAGCCGCTTCTTGGCTTAGCTTTTATATCTGAGCTGACGTCATATGGTATGGAATATCTGTTTGGTTGGTTTAGGTCAGCTGTCCTGGTTATGTCCCCTCCCAAGATCTTGCCCTGCCCCAGCCTGCCATTGAGGGGGGGCAAAAATGTTGGAGAGACAGCCTTGATGCTGTGCCAGCATTGCTCAGCAGTAGCCAAAACACTGGTGTGTTATCAATACCTTTCTAGCTACTGATGCAGAGCACAGTGCTATGAGGGCTGCTATGGGGAGTATTAACTCCATCTCAGCCAGACCCAATGCACTGTGCTTTAATTGTTTAGGCTGAATTTTTTTCAGACTTGGATTGATTTGAGGCTTTTTTGTTTTGCATCAAAAATTCTGAGCTGTTTCAAGGAAAGAAGGTAGGCAAAAAGTAATGTGCCCTTTAAAACTGTTCTGCTGATTTTTTCTTTGCTAAGCTCTAGTAAATACAGTATTGTTACTTGGAGTGGGAACCTGATACACAGGCCAAATTTCAAGTGTATCTCCTTTTTCCTTGCTGTAAAAATGAGCCCAGAACTGATTGAGAGGTAAACTTTTCAAAAATTGTGGTTTGTTTACATCCACTCATAGAATCATTTAGGTTGGAAGAGATCCTTAAGATCATCCGCTCCAACTGTTAACCTAACACTGCCAAGTCCACCACTAAACCATGTCCCTAGGCACCACATCTACACATCTTGTAAATACCTCCAGGGATGGTGACTCAACCACTTCCCTGGCCAGCCTGTTCCAATGCTTGACAACCCTTTCAGTGAAGAAATTTTTCCTAATATCCAATCTAAACCTCACCTGGCGCAACTTGAGGCTGTTCCCTCTTGTCCTGTCACTTGTTAATTGGGAGAAGAGACTGACCCCCACCTCGCTACAACCTCCTTTCAGGTAGTTGTAGAGAGCGATAAGGTTTCCCCTCAGCCTCCTTTCCTCCAGACTAAATAACCCCAGTTCCCTCATAAGACTTGTGGTCCAGGCCCCTCACCAGCTTCATTGCCCTTCTCTGGACACGCTCCAGCACCTCAGTGTCTTCCCTGTAGTGAGGGGCCCAAAACTGAACACAGGACTCGAGGTGCGGCCTCACCAGCGCCGAGTACAGGGGGGTGATCACCTCCCTGCTCCTGCTGGCCACACTATTTCTGATACAGGCCAGGATGCCGTTGGCCTTCTTGGCCATCTAGGCACGCTGAGCAGCAAGCCTGACTTTTTTCTCATTGACCCCATTGCTGGAGTTCTCTTGCTGGCATCTGAGGCTTTGCTGTTGATAGGCATCATCGCATGAGCCTAAGTGACAGAGGCTCATATGGTCCATCTGTGCGTTCTATCTTTGTTAATGAGTTCTGGGTGACAATAAACAGGAAGTGATATGGTGAAAATTTTTTTTCATTTTGTTTAAAAAACCTAAGAAGTTACACACTCAAAACTACTTTAAAAGATCAGGAGGTTGAACAGTATATCTTTGAATGTTAGGTAATGCTACAGTTAAGATTGTTTGTATATCCTGCGTTATCTCCTTGCACTTTCTGAGTATGCATAATAATATAGCCTTAAATTACTGGACCAAGTCTTTTTAGCAGTTGGATTCTCTTGATCTGTTAAGGCATGTTTTGAGGGGTCATGAAGTAAAGGAGGCTGTTGTCTATACCTACATTCACCTGTGGGAACATTTGTCATGGCTGAGGTGGGGAAATACACAAAGATGGATTGTGTCTTGTTGAAGGCAGTTGAATGCTTTCCAGGAAAACTGGATACTATCCACAAGTCTTTTGTAGGGTTTCTATGGGATTTTGGGCAAGTTGCTGTAGTGAAAGCCACTGGGAACTGTTTTTTAACTGTATGACATAAATATATGCTAAATATGCAGAAAAATTAGGTCTAATGGATCTCTCCAAATGGGAACCATAAGCAAGTAATTATAAAAATGCATATTTTTTTCCATGCCTCACCTTCCCTTTGTAAAATGGGAATAAAACTGTCCTTTTAGCTCACAGGGACATTGTAACCATATGTGTGTTGATGCCTTTGGTATCATAGTGATGAACATCATAGGAATTAGGAATACAATAATTCTGTCTTCATGGCAAGTTCAAATAACACGGTAAGAGGCTGTAGCATAAATACGTAAGTATGGTAAGGGGTTGTACATTGAACAATGAGAGTAACTAGCAATGAGCAATGAGTCACTAGCATATTAATTGAGCATGCTCATACTGGGCACAGAATGAGGTATAATTCTGAAAAAGCAATAGGGTGTTAGAGAACCAGGTTTCATGCATGTGTGCTACACAGACTGAATACAAGGTACAATATAAATATGCCTATTAAATTTTGACAAATTATAGCTGGCTGTAGTGTTCAAAAGTCCCACCAAATCTAGATAGCTAAACTTTTAATTTTTTTATTTTTTTTTTTTCAAAAAAATCTTTGAACCTCACATGCCTTTCCAAGCTCTGTTGGAGAATGTGTGCTTGACTTATCTTCTAGTTAGAATCTAGAGCATTTATCCTGGGGCAATTACCAGCTTTCCTGAAAAATGTTTATTAGTTAGAATTGGGATTATCTAGTGGACATATACGTGTTCATGTGTCACTGCTGATATTTGTCTCTTTGTCTAGATTTTTCCTCCACAGGCTTTGCAAACTGAGTGCATGTTACCAGTGTGGAGAAACTCTTATGACATACATTCCTGATGTGACCACAGATGTACTGAACATACTGGAAAATCTGAGCCACGTGCCATTATAGTAGAACCATCCAAGTGTACAAAATGAGTCACAAAGGTGCAGTTCTGTAGACAGGGCTGCATCAGTCAGGTTGATATCCTTTCACACAAGTGACAAGTGAATACCCAGTAGGTGAGAAAATCAGCTACTCTGAAAATAGTTTCAGGAGTCCAGCTGTTGAGATTTAAGATAGATGGCTGAACTGGTTTCACAGTTCTAATGAGTTGTGAGCATGTAAGGGAGTGAGGGGGAAGCATCATCAGTCATTCATTCACATGAATCCAGTAATGCATTCAAGGTGGGGAGAAATCTCAGAAACCTTCCTAGGGGCTGCTCTACCTATCCTTACTCACAGAAATATTCCAGCTCTGTTTTACTTTCTTTCAGCTGTTACTGTGTTTTTCTGTTATTTTATTTGCTTTGACCAGCTAACATAGCTGATACTGTTAAAACTGGAAAAAAAACCCACAGTAGCTTGAATGAGAAGTAAAGCAACACAATGAGCTGGCTTACATTATTGTGAAGCTCTCATAAGAGCCCTGAAATTATTTTTCAGTTAATTTGAATGGTAAAACGCTTTCAAAAGCAGCAGTGCATATGATGCTTCTGCTTTCTATACAGCAAAACTGTGTAAGCGACAGTATGGAACTGTTGGACAATGTTCACTTTTGTGTTATTACTAAAGCGGCATTATGAATGTCTGTTTCTGTTAAAAAATGATGCACAAGAGGCCTGAACTGCACTTCATAGCCATGAGATTTGTAATAAATAATACTATTTAAGTTATATGAAAGACATAGTACATTAAAATTTAAATACAGAATGTAAATTCTATTGCATTGTTACGTGGCATATTATTTATACTGTTTGTTCTTAAAGGTACAAAAAAAATACGACAAAAACCAGTAAGACCTTTTTTCCAGTGAGAAACTGTTTTTAAATAGCTATCAGTTGTGCCAAATCATGAAAATATTTTTTGTATCCTTTTTTCCAAGAACAAATTTACAGTTTTGTCTTAGGAGATTTTATCTCTCCACAGAATTTTTTTACAATGTTTCAAGTAGTGAAAGTTAACTATATGAAAGTACTTTTTTTTCAGGTACCTTTTATTGCAAATCCTCCTGTGATCACAGTTTCATTCCTATTGGAGTGAATGTTACGGATTTTAGTCCTGACTCGGATTTAATGGAGACATTAACTTATTTTTTTTTCTTCATGTTAGTTTCTTAAAAACTATTTCTCTTTTCTTTGTTTTCTTTCTGAACAATATGAGAAAGGGACTGTACATGCTGTAATGGTTTCTGGGTATTATAATAATTCCTATATACTACAAATGCATATGTTTTCCAGTTAGTAGTTAAACTTTAAATCTGTAAAAAGCAATGAACAAAAAAAAGGAATCATGAAAAGAAATGAAAGTAAGTAAGTATGTGTATAAGTAACACATGACATTATAAGTAGAATTAAATTGTAAGTATCACAGACCTTTTCAGTTCTCTAACACAAATAAATCTTTGTGAACTTTTTACTCAGTGGCTATTGCAGCAGTTTTTCAGTTGGATACAGTCTTTTAATTAATTTTTTTCTGCTTAGAAAAGTTACAGTATTTGGTGAACAGGAAAACCATTGCTGGTAATCCGGATAATCTCCCTTCTTGGCCAGAACAGAAATAAATTTTTGTACATGTTGATAAATGGCCTGCCATGTTCAAGGGCATGGTAGAGTTAAGTGCGTGTATAACTGGAGTGAGCTTTTTCAGCTGTTTGAAGATCCCACCACAGGAGCTCTTAGCCTATTTTAAGCTGGATAAGAAGCATTTAATTGGAGCACCACATTAAGAATATCAGCAATAGTCATGAACAGT